TGAAATGGGAAAGGAAGGAGAAAAGAAGAAGTGCCTTTCCTTGCCCAGCTGTATTTCACTGGGCAGACAGCAGGAGCTGTTGCACACCCTGCCAGGAAGGGGAGGGCAGGAGCCCAGGTGGGGCCTGGCTGCGGCTGCGTGGGGCAGACCCCCCAGTGCTGCTCTGCGGAGCAGGACAGAATGAATGACCTTCATAACACTTTCCCTCTGAAATCCTCCAACTTCCCACTAATAAACAATGTGGTTGTCAGGGTAGTCCAATCACTTTATATAAAAATGCTCCTTCCTTCCCCCTGAACAGTCAGAACATCTTCCCCGGAGCCTACAGCAACACATTGTCCTTCCTGCCTTCTCCTGGGAGCGCGTCCTCCCTTTGTCCCTTCCCATGTCCCCAGCTGTGCCCTGTTCCCATAGCCGTTGGCTCCTGGGGGCTTAAAAAAATAGATCTGTTATTGTGGCACCTCCTCTATCTGGGCTGCCCTGGTGCCATTTTTAGCCTCAGTAGAGCCCCCGGGACCATGTTTTTCAGTCGCTGTGTTTGCATGCACCTTCTGGAGCTGCTGAAGTGTCCTGACAAGCCTCTGGAATCAAAGGCTTGGAGCTGCCCCAAGGGCAGGGAGCAAAGAGAAAGAATCACCTGGGCTCCCAGCAGGATGGCCCTGGAGGGCTGCAGGAACATGCCTGGCACAGGCAGGTGGGCTCTGAGCCATGGGCCCGGCGCTCCCCCCGCCACCCACGGCGCGCAGGTCCCGGCACGCCGCGCTCCCCCGCCCAGCCCACAGACGCCACCCCAGACCACAGGCAAGTTTCCACTCTTGGCCAGGAAAGAGCCCATAAAGTTAGTGAACATCTTAAAAATTAAGCACCTAATGATCCCCATCCTGCAGCCAAGGGCTGGGTGCCAGCTGGGCGCTGGCTCCGCACGGTGCCCTTCCCGGCACGGCAGACGGCTCTGCCGCTGAATCCCTCGGGTGTGGGGCTGTGGGCACAGAGCAGGTCCTGGGACACTGCCACCAGTTAGATGGCATAAGAACACTGGTGAAAACTGGAGAAAACATCGCCTGAGCCCTGACACCAAAGCCCTGCGCTCTTTGACTCCCAGAAACATTTTACTCCCTGAAAACACACCTTCAGGTCTTGCTGCCACTGGCTCATGTTCCTTCACCCACCAAGGGGTGGCTCTATGGGTAAGATCAGTCCCCTGCGCCTCAGGCTAAAGCCAAGGGCTTGTCCTTGGTGCCATCTCCTCTGTGCCACGGTGCCATCACCATCACCTCTGTTCGGAGGGACCCAAGGGCCGGGCTGAGGGCAATTTGTCAGAATGTTTCATCCCTCCAAACACTTCTCACTGTTACAACACAGCACCTGTGAGTGGACAAAAAGTCCTCAGATGTACTCAGTCTTGCCATCCTAGCCCACAGCGTGGGATTTCCCTCACGTGCCCCTGGGCAAAGCCAGCCAGGGCTGTACCCCATCTCCAGCCCCCACTCCTTCCCCTGCTCTGCTCTGGCCGTGCTGTGCCCCAAGGAATCCCCCCTGCAGGGGTCCAGGCACTGCCCCTCACTGCCTGCCCACCCTGACCCTGCTCCACACCGGACCAGGCCCTGCTCCCAGGGCACCTGCCTGTCTTGTGCTCCTCTGGAGACTCCTTCCCCAAAGCCTCCCTCCTCCTGGCCAGCCTTCCGCCATCCCTGCCCTCTACTGCTCTCCTGCTGGCCATAAAAATATATAGAATATAGAACATTATTTTATGACATACTATAAAAAAAAACCAACCTGGAACTAGGAGACACGTGCCAAACCTCAGCAGCACATGCAGGAATGCCTTTGTCCCAGCTGTTGCTGGATTGCCTGAGCTCTTCCCAGCAGAGCTGAAGGCTTTTAAGGACAGGAACCTTGTTTTCTTGATTTATTGATCTTTTTCCTGGCACGGGGCAGCAGCGGTGGCTGTGGCTGCACAGAGTCAGTGATGCCATCTGTCCTTTGGGTCCCATCTCCTGAGGTGCTGCCCAGGGCTCCCCAAACCAGGCATACAGAGAGCATGGAGAGTGGGTTTAGGTGGAGCTGGAAATCATGAGGAGGGCGAGAGGCAGAGGTCTCCCATTCCCCAAGAGAATGCTGCCTGCAGTTATTGCTCCTCAGCTCTTGTTCCTTCATCTGCCACAGCCCTCTCCCTCCTTCCCCAGGGCTGAGCCTCCCTGTGCCCATCCTGAATCCCTCAGTTCTTCCTAGAGTTTCACTGAGGCACTGGTTCCTGCACGGGCAGTTTGGGGAACCCAAGGGCAGGGAACTGTCTGTGTTCCCTATCAGGGCTGACATCAGATCCTTAAATCACCGAGGGATGCCATCCCACACCGGTACCCACAGCCCAGGGCACCAGTGCCCACACCCTGAGGTGCCAGCCCCTGGTCCTCCCTCATTTGCTTTCCCCTCCTGGGCTGGTGAAACTTCCCAACAGCCTTTCAGCCCCAGCTCCATAAAGCTCGCGATTCATTCCGCAGATATTTCCTGCGCTGGGGCTTTCCGCAGCATCTGCTGGTTTGAAGTGCTCCGTTTATTCGTCCTGGGGGCACCATTACTTTCTGCTTTAGCAGTTCTGCCTGTTCTGAAGTCTCTGCCAGGCTCCATCTACGGGAGAGAAAATTGGTGAAAGAATAATAATGATGATTGTTATAAATATATATTTCATTGCGGTGGCCCTTGGTGCACGTGTTTGTCGCTGACGAGGAGACCAGAGGGTGAGGGGGGAACACTCGGCTCCCAACAGGCTCCCAACAGCAGATGTGTGTCCTCACCCTGCTGCCTCCTCCTCCTCCTCCTCCTCCTCCTCCTCTTGCTCCTCCTCCTCCACCCAAGGCACTTGTCACTACACCCCCATCTCTTTTCCCCAGAAGGTTTCTGGTGGGTCAGGGGTCCAGAAGTCCTGGAGAGCTCTGGAGGTGGGTTCCTGTTGTTCCTGACTGTGAGGGATGTCCTGGGCAGGCTGGAGCCACTTCTGAGATCATCCATCCATTGGGATGGATGGAGAGAACAGCTGAGTGGGGAATAGTGTGCAAAGAGCTTTGCACAAGGGGCATGGCAAAGAGGTGCACAGCCGTGTCTCCCGGCTTCTGCTTCAGTTTCTCCATGGATTTTTGCTCTTGTCTGGCTGAGTGAAAACATAAATCACTGACAAATGATCCACATCAGCCCCAGCAGCACATTTCACCTCTCCTCAGGGGATTATCCAACCAGGGCCTTTGTGAGGGAGTGCAGAGGATCTTTGCCCTTGTTTCACCATCTGTGCTCCACCATCATGTGGATGATCCCCTTCCCTCATGTCCTCAGCCGCTGCAGCCTGAGGATGCTCCAGGCCTGTGTCCCAGCCCTCGAGGCCACTCAAACTCCTCCACTTCCATTTCCTGCTGCAGAGAGTTTCAGGTATTTCCTGTAGACACTTTAAAATTCCTCGAGGGCTTCTCCATTTCCCCCGCAGAGGGATGGCCTGGAAGCAGGACAGCAGGAGCCGTGCAGAGTGGGGTACCTGGGAAGACTTTGTACAGATCAGCATTCCTTGGCTCATTTTCCACTGGCCTTTCCACTTGGAGCAGCCCTCCCCTCCCTGCAGATCAGATCAGATAGTTGTACATGGGCCCTCCCGGGTCTGAAAATCAGTAAATGCAATTCCATCTGCCGTGAGGATAACGTTACCACTGCCAGATCATCCCTGCTCCTGGGCTGCAGCTCTGACCAGAAACCATCTGTATGGCAGGGGCTGTGCCGGGGACACACAGGGACCCATGGAGAGCACCAGCCCTGCACCAGTGGGTACTGTTACCTACAGATGGAAATTCGTCTCTGAGGTACTCGATCTTCCCTAAACTCCTTTGCTGTAACCCTTTCAGGGGACATCTGTTAAATCCCTCCAGGGATGGTCATTCCACCTCTGCCCTGGGGAGCTTCTTCCAGTGCCTCACCACCCTTTTGGGGAAGGTTTCCCTAATATTCAACCTCAGCCTCCCCTGGCACAGCTGGAGGCCGTTCCCTCTCCTCCTGTCCCTTGTTCCCTGGGAGCAGAGGCCGAACCCCTCTGCCCCCACCACTCCTGTCAGGGAGTTGCAGAGAGTGAGGAGGTCCCCCCTGAGCCTCCTTTTCTCCAGGCTGAGCCCTCCCAGCTCCCTCAGCTACTCCTGGTGCTCCAGACCCTTTCCCAGCTCCCTTGCTGGACAGGCTCCATCCCCTCAATGTCCTTCTTGTCTCTCCAACCCCACATTGGAGCCCAGGAAGGTGGGAGAAAGAGATGGAAGTACATCAACCACCAGAGCTCGTGCAACCATAAATGCAAAGTCTGGGACTTGTTTTTCCTTATTTGCTGTTAGATAGGCCATAATCTCTTCTGGAGCCTCCTCCCAGCTTGATCAGAGGTGGTAGAGCTCTCCTGTTCCCCCTGGAGTCACAGGATTCTTCCCTGCCTCCCATGCTGCAGCTCCCAGCAGAGCATCCTGCTACGGCCATCCCAGCCTCACACTTGCCAGGAGAGCCCTCCCAAACACCCCAAGATCTGTCTCCAAATGTAAACAGACATTTTCATGGAAAACCCACAGCTTGGCTCAAGCAGCAGGTCAGGGATGTTGGCTGACAGGCTGCTTTGGAGCCCAGAGAGACCAACACAGCCCAGAGGGTCTCGGTTTCCCTTTTTTGCTTACGAGGAAGTTGGTTCTTATGGCAATTTGTGCTTCAATAAACGTGAAATAAAATCCATTCTGCCCTTTCCCAGCTGGCGTCATCCCCCTTTCCCTCTGTTTATCACATCATATCCATTGCCCTGGCAACCACGGCAGCCAGGAGGGGATGCTGGTGGCAGGTGGGGCGTGCGCCGGCCCCGCACCCCGAAACAAAGATGCCGCTCTCACACGGGCGTCTCCAGCGAGACGGACCGGAGCGAGGGAGACTGGGAACAAACCCGAGATGGGGGCAAAACAGCTTCGGAAGGGGATGCTCTTGGCAGCAGCAAGAAGGGGATGCTCTTGGCGCTGGCCCCTGCAGCACCCACGAGGGTGACTCTGGAGGTGCCGTCCGTGGGATCTGCGGGCGGGGACGCCCATCCCGGCTCCGGCTCCGGGCAGGACACAAACAGGAGCCCCAGCTCGGAGCGGGAAGTCTGCGAACAGTCTGGGGACCTGGTCCCAGGGCAGGTTCCTCTCTGCACCCCCTCGTGGGCCCATCCTCCTCCTGCGCTTCCCCTGTCCCGTCACGCTCCCAGTTCCCCCCTTCACCCCCTCAGTGCGCTCAGAGCCCATTTCCGCCGCATTCCTTCCCTTTAGCCCCGCGTCGGTCCCACCGCTCCCCGGAGAGCCCCCGGCCCCTCCGAGGGGAGCGCAACCCGCGGGGCTCCCCCTGCTCCGCGTCCATCCCGGAGAGATTCCCGCAGGACCGGCAGCCCGGCCCCACGCGCCTCCCGCGGTCTCCGCCTGCCCCCGCGCGGCGGCTCCGGGCACGGACCCGCACCACGGACGGACACACGGACAGACCCACGGACGGACCGCACCGGGACCCGCACCACGGACGGACCGCACCGGGACCCGCACCACGGACGGACACACGGACAGACCCACGGACGGACCGCACCGGGACCCGCACCACGGACGGACCGCACCGGGACCCGCACCACGGACGGACACACGGACAGACCCACGGACGGACCGCACCGGGACCCGCACCACGGACGGACACACGGACAGACCCACGGACGGACCGAACCGGGACCCGCACCACGGACGGACACACGGACAGACCCACGGACGGACCGCACCGGGACCCGCATCCACGGACGGACCAGCACTGACCCGCACCACGGACGGACACACGGACAGACCCACGGACGGACCGCACCGGGACCCGCACCACGGACGGACACACGGACAGACCCACGGACGGACCGAACCGGGACCCGCACCACGGACGGACACACGGACAGACCCACGGACGGACCGCACCGGGACCCGCACCACGGACGGACCGCACCGGGACCCGCACCACGGACGGACACACGGACAGACCCACGGATGGATCCTCACCAGGACCCACGCCCACAGACAGACCCACACCCATGAAGGACCTACAGATGGCTCCACAACAGTTTGAGACAGATGAGGGACATGGGCAGGGAAACACAACGGGAAAGAACAGAAGGAAATCCTGAACCACCGGGGGAGATTTACTCAAGAGAGAAAACTGAGACTGCTCAGAGGGTGCTGAGGCCCTGGCACAGGTTACCCTGAGAAGCTGTGGCTGCCCCATCCCTGGAATTGTCCAAGGCCAGATTGGACAGGGCTTGGAGCAACCTGGGCTAGTGGAACGTGTCCTGCCTGTGGCAGATGATCTTTAAGGTCCCTTCCCAACCCAAACTATCCTGTGATTCCTTGATTCTGAGATGGGATGTAATCATCTTCAAAACCATGAACTTTGGGGCTTGTACCTTGTAACTTCCGCTACTTGTGGCAGTGGGGATGAGATGGGCCCTGTCTGTGCTGGGAATGGGATCTCCTGGAGTGTCCAGAGCCAGCCTCATCTGGGCTGGCCCTGCAGGCAGCTGCCTCCTCTCCCTGCCCCACACTCTCTGTGGGCACCAGAACCCCACTGCCATGTGGCCAGGAAGGACACAAGGACTGTCCAGCAGCCAGTGGAGGGGGTTGAATGCCGGGGGTCCCCAGGGGAGCCTTGTGCAAGACTCACTCTGGCACAGTCAGTGAATGAAGATTAAACAGCCCGGGGAAGTTGCTTCACCTCTTATCAGAGAGTTGCTCTCCCCTCTGCTGCAGTGACTCATGCTCTGCTGAGCCCTTCCCACCTCATCTGGGATGTGTTACAGCCCTGGACCCCACTCCCTCTCCCTACAGATGGGGATTCTCATGGATTGTCTGCCTCCTCTTCCTCTTTCTTCTCCTCTCCAGTGTTTTTGTTCCTCAGGTGTCCCCTGCCCACATAACACAGCTGTCCCCTAAACCAGGCTCCCTTTGGCTTGTCCCCAGCTCTGGAGCCAGCACTGGAAAGGGGATAGTCCCCAAAGGCTCCCATTTTTCCAGAAGTTGTCCCTGCCCACTTCTGCCTGCAGGCCCCAGCTTTGCCTGCCTGGGTTGGCTGCAGGTCCTCCCTCAGGCCAGTGTAACTCTGCCCTGGAAGGGGAAAGAGGCAGATATCCAGATTGCAGGGAGCGAGCCCAGACCCACTGGAATCCTCAGGACGAGCTGGCAGCTGACATTTCAGAGGGGACGAGCACGTGCGAGGTTGAATTTCTCTGTCTCAGAAGCACACACATCTCTCAGAGCCGGGGACAGCGGTGACTCGAGGAGGCAGCAGAGCTAAATCAGATGCCAAACACTGATTCCTCCGCACATCCCCAGGGACTGACAGCTGGAGTCACTCTCACCATCTGTCTTCCCACTGCAACCCCTGGAGAAGGTGCACTCCTCCAGCTAACGATGGAGACAGTGAGAGAACAAATGCATTCATTTCCTGGCCTATGGATTTTCCATTCAGGGACTGCAGAAACACACTGCACTGGGGAATGTGTTTTGCTCATCCCAGTAATGCAGCTCTTGTGCTTTACTGTGTAACAGGTGACACCGATGGACCAGCTCCTCCCCATCTCCTGTCCAGTGCATCCTTCAGGCAGATGTGTCCGGGCTTTCTGATCCTTGGAGGAAAAAATGTCTGAAAGACTGGATTTATTGTTCCTCATGATCTTGCCCTCATCCCAGGCAAGCTTGGAGACCAAGGGGTTGGCCAGAAATTTGGGACACATGATAAAAGCATTTTGTTTCCAGATAGGACAGATCTTCATGAGAACGAGCCCAGAATTAATAAACCATCAACCTGCAGCCAAGTGTGCTGTGTTAACTCAGAAGTAATGAGGTCGTGGTGAATCACTGGGAGTGGGGGACATGGGGGGAGAAACCAGCTCAGAGAAACACTGAATTAGACCAAACCTGGATATAAACCTCAATTCTTTCTTCATGGCTGAAACTACTGAACAGTTTGCCTTCCTCTCGTTAGAGCTCCACTGCAAACTCCCAGGAAAGTGGGAGGGGAAAACCGCAGGGAACCAGCCCAGCCCGGGGGGATGCAGGAGATGGGAGAGGGGGCGGGGGGCTTGGGCAGGTCTGGCATCTGGCCCCCTGGCAAAGCCCCCCAGGGGGATCCCAGAGCCCTGCCCTGGCTCTGCAGGGACCTGTCCCCGCGGCCGGGGCCGGGGGTGATGCTGCTGTGCCGGATAAGTCACGAGGGAGGGCTGTGGGCTCTGCCAGCCCAAATCACCCTGGAGACAGGGAGGAGGAAGAGGCTGGGGCACCTCAGCTGGTCCCCTCCACAGCAGCTGTTCCCAAAAGGGGTTCCATTCTTCAGTGGCAGAGCACTTACAAAATGTGGGCCTACATCCCTTTTAGAAGTTTCCGCTTCTCTTTGCAGAAGTTTTCCAGGTTACAGGGTCTGGGACTTTGGGAAGCTAGCTTGATGATGGAGTGACATCCAAGTCATAGTTCTCACATTGCGAGGGAGCTATGGTGGGAAAAACCCTTCTCCCCAGCTTTGCATATTAATTTATTATGATTTACAGGCTAATCCTGTGCCCCTCCCTGCACCCTGACAGCCTCAGCACCCACCAGCACTTGAATTACCTTTTTCCATGCAGAGTCTGGCTTAGACCACCAACGGGAGCACCAAGGCCTCCTCCACCCCCTGACCTCCCTGTCTCAGGGAACCCCCTTCCTCCCTGCATCACCCGAATGTGGCTGGGAGCAAACCCCAGCTCCCAACATGCCTGTGCTTGGGGGGCTCAGCCTCAAACCCCAACCATGGCCCAGGCACTGCTGCTCTCTGCTCTTCTGCCTTTACTCAGCTGTGGCCCTGCCATGCTCTTCCTCAGTCCTTCTTCCCCTGCTCATGTTCTGGCAGGTTTTCCTCACCCCAGACCTCTCTTCCTCAGCCCCTGCAGAGGTGCAGAGGCGTCTCTGTTTGCACAGGCACACCAGGCATGCTGGCACCTCATCTTCCTCCTGTCTTCCCTGCAGGTCCCCGACCTTCTCCTGCACTACCCCCATCCCAGTGGCTCTGCTCCCTGGGCCAACATTCCCACAATCCTCCACTACCAGCTGCTTGGCTCACTTCACACCTTAATCCCCACCTATACCTGTCTGACAACACTTGCCCTTTGGTATTTGCACACCCACACTCCCCACACCCGTATTTAGCTGTGCCATCAATGGTATCCATGAATCCCTCAGGCACTGCCTGCAGCAGGATCATCCCTAAGGCTGGTGGAAATTCCCAGAGGCTGCTGGACAGAGGGTTCCTGTGCTCATGCCTCGGAAACCCTCTGCCTTTCCTTGGGAAAAGCACTTGGGCAATCCCAGCACCGTGGTGGTTAATCCCCAGCTTCTTGGGGGTGAAAAACATGATGGGAGAAGGGATTTATCAGCTCTTCCAAGCTGCAAGAGACAGCAAACCTGTTGGATCAAGGGTTCAGACATGCCCCACTCAGACCAGCAATGTTTTATTTGGGGCTGATTTGCAAGTCTCTGCATTCCCAACGATATTGAAATGACTCTGGTTTGCAGCAATGGCAAAGCCAGGCTTAGGCAGGCCGGGAAGGAGCTCATCTGCTCCAGACTGCTCAGCTCTCCTGGCATTTTACACTAGAGCAGAGAATAGTTCTGCAAACAATGAGCTGAAAAGTGACATATCGCCCTCCCTTGTTTTCCCATCCATCAGCTGACTTTTGCCTTTTCCCTAATTCCTGAAAGGCTCTCCTTCTAATTCACTTCCCCGAGCACGTGAGCCCCACGGTGCTGGGAGATGCCTGGCCATGGAGGTGGATGAGCCGGTCAGTCCGTGGGGAGCTGCCCTGGGCTCTGGTAACTCCTGCCCACCCTGGCCAAGCCTGGCACTCCCCTCGCCCCAGCATCTCCCTGCAGGTGTGGACACAGCTGGGCTGTCGGGAAAGGGGCAGGGGCTGGGCTCCCCCACGACACTGCCCACCCCAAGCCCCGAGGACTTGTACCCGGGCAGCTCTGGCAGCTCCCTCATCCCGGGGCTGTTGTTCAGTCCAGATGCACTTTTTATTGGATTTTGTTAAATTAAATGTATGATCCCATATTATCTGACCCAGCTCCAAAGTCTCCCAGGCCCAGGCAAACTCTGCTGCCTCAGCTTTCCATTTCCATGTTTATTTACTGCCTTTCAGATTGCCTGGGCTGCACAGTGCAGCCTCTGATGAATAAATAACCGGTGCCCTTGCAGGCCAGATTGATTAGATGGATTTAATTAATGAGCCCAGCTCCCCTTGAGGACTCTCCCAACTAAAATACTGGAACCAGCCAGTGTGTGACAGCACCAGGACCCTTTGATTTACGGGAATATTAACGAGGGATCACTTAGTGACTTCATCGATGCTGTAACAAGGACACCCCTGAGGACGGGAGAGGCTGCCAGGGGTCAGGTCACGGCTGGTTCACCACACGGGGATTGTTCCCCTGGCTGCTCGGCCACCAACATCCTGCAAACGTTCATCTGTCCTCCCCATCCCAGCTGCACCCGTGTGGCCAGGGAGACAGGGAGCCAGAGCTGCCAGCTCGCTTCCAAGGGCACTGGGGGCACACGGGCACTGGAAACAACAGGGGAAAAGGCACAACCCTGAGAGGACACAGTGGGGGTTGCTCCACACCAAGGCCAACCCTGGGGGAATTCAGGAGAGGGGAAGCAAAGCAGGAGAATGAAGCCCACGCTGGGTCAGGATGAGGGGAGCTGGGCAGGGCCAGGGGAAGCTGCCAGGGCCAGGGGAAGCTGCCAGGGCCAACCTGAGCCCCCGTGTGCCAAAGGCCACCTCTCTAATGGAGACAGACGTGTGACAGGGTGCTCAGCCCAGCTGCCCCCCACTCCCCCGCTCCCAGAGCCATGGCAGATGGCAGCCCCCACACGGACCTCTCCCTGCCAGCCTCCGCAGCATCCCGAGAAGGTGCCGCATGGGTTTATTAATTAGTTCATTAAATTATTGCTGAAGTTAATTGAGACCCACATGTTCCCCCCTCCAGCTGCCTCCCAGCCGGCCGTGGCACGGGCAGGAGCTGTTGGTAGGGTCGGGAGCAGGT